ACGCTAATTGTAGAAGAATCAGCAGTCGTAGAAGGATCACTAGTTTTACTCAGCGACTCTTTTTCCTGCTCCGCTCGCTTCCGTGCTCTGTAATCACGGTAATATTGTGCATTTTTCCCTATTGATCCAGTGAAAGTGCTTGTGGTTGCCTCATCGTCTCACCCTGAAAAATGTATTTGTATTAATAATGTATGTGAATGCGTCATAATGTAATTTCAGAAGAGAAAACCTAACAATCAATTGATATTCACAAGAGACGTACCTTGACATAACCTTATAAATCCGTCGCATTGTCCGTGAGATTGCTTTCACTCATTTTTCACAATTGTTATCCACTAAATTTGAAAATAAAAAATATTACCCTATTAAATTATATGAGTATCAAAACAAACTGAAAAAATATTTATAGAAAAACAATATCCTTATGCTAGTGAGAACCAAAACAATATGGAAATGAATGAGGGAAAACTGGATCCTACCACGTGATTTCCCGGCCAATAAAAATGTAGCGTTAAACGTTTAACGCAACCTTGTTGGAAGTCGCATAAGAAGTATAACTTCAACAAGCTTTTAGTAACTCATCTCAAAAAGATTAACTGAATTCAAAACCATTTGGCATGATGCTGCAGGGTTCACACGGTCCTTGAAACGTTTTGGTAGTGGTAACAAATTTAGGTTAATGCAAGAAGATATTTTTTTATTTCAATCTACCACTTTATTGCTAAATGGTTTAGAAGCTCGAATTTTCATTCATATATACTTTCTTTGGTATTATTACTCAGTATTATTACCATAATACCGAAAGTAAAGATTACCAAAATTAATTTCTAAAATGGCAATTTTTATTCTCCTAAAGGAGTTAGTGTCGTATTTTTATAGGATGGCATTCGTAGGCTGCCACTAGGCTACTTAAATGAACCTGTTTTCATTGATTAATTTGTATAACAGAAAGCGACCTAACCACTCTACTGATACATTGGAACAGATATAGTTCGTTCACCAGGAGTTGGCACTTGGCTCCGCCTTCATCACGCGGTATCGGATGATACTATTTCGCTATTTTGGGGAGAAGGATGTGAACAAGGCTGCTATTTGGCGATCGTATGACAAAAATATTTATTTCGCAATCATCATGTGCATATTTTGAACATGTGCATTTTATTTCATAAACTTGTTGATATTTTTCTCTTTTTATTGAACAGTTGGTTCTTTTTGAGATATTTTGCTGGGAAAAAGTTATTAAACATAAATTAGCTAGAATAACGAAAGGTATAATAGCTGATGATAAAGTAAGTGACTGAAGAAGAATTCACTGTTTGTGTTTGGCTATCACCTTCTACATCAGATAGCCTCCACACGGTTTCTTATAAGTAGTCTGCGCTGACTATTTAAAAAGTGAACAGTTTGAGCGCATGAAGCCAAATTATATTTTAAAAGTGACTGAGAGGAATTTGTCATGTATATTTGTGAAATGAATCTGTAGTGGTAGACAAGTAAGTAGGACAAACTAATCATATTCAAAAACTAAACAAATTTTTAGACATATATTTGCTACCACTTCTTTATTTTTACTAGATTTTCTATTAAAGGGCTCTTTCGTAAACTGGTTTGCTTTCATAGTGGTCTGATTGGACTACCTATAAAAAACAGTGTGGAGGCTTTGCGCGCATTCGAGGTTATCTCGATTTCAAGGGGGGAAATGTTTTTCCTCTTACTCCCCCGCGCTGAAATGAACTCTGCGTCCGGAGAGGTGGAGCCAAGTGCCAACTCCTGGTGAACGAACTATACCTTGAAACTATTACTCATAACGTATAATTGGACTTGAACTCGACATCTTACACACTTTAAAAGCATTTGATGTATTTGATTTTATTTTTTTATCTTATTGTATTTGTTTGCTGATCACCAAATCTGTCATTTGACAAAATTTCACTGTATTCTTAGTTCTTCAAGTTCTTACTATTTATGCTGTTATCAGCATATATTTAGTGCAATGGTATAAATTTTAATCTCCGTATACCCCCTGGGGTGGACAGGGGTTTAACGATACAGATATTAAAAGACGTAATAGTCTATTTAGTTAAGCTTGTACTCATATATCTTAATTATTGATTTGCCATCGATGGCAATTTGCGTTTAAAACATAAATTATCAAGATTTATAGAGAAATACATAACAGTTGCTACCCTTAATCAGTACCCAGATAGCAGAGAACCATCAATTTTACGTCAAAAATGTCTATATTTCCCCTTTAAATTTTTCTAAGCATTCGTAAAATTTACTAAAAACTTAAACGTCGAATTATAGAAAAAATAGCTATCCAAAAAACGAGCAATTTACATAAACAAATTCATTTTGTTTAGGGAATATTTTATCAAACACTTTTTATTAGGTAAGAATGAATACGTAATTTTTAGGTAAGATTTATGTCAACAATAGGGGCCTCCCTGGCAGATCGGTATCACCTGCCAAACGTAGTGCAAAGCGTGGAGGTAGCTGGTTCGAATCCCGCTATTATCCTAGATGTATCTTCTTATTGTGCTATCTCTCTTTCTGTTTGACAATGGTTTATAAGCCTAAATAGAGCACACAAGCCTGCAGATGTATTTCATTCCAATTAACCAATTACGTTTACAAAACGTCAAAATGTAAGTTAGTTGAAACGTCAAATTATAGAAAAAAGTGGTTATTAAAAAAACAGGAAATATACGTAAATAAATTCGAACGAAATTTAAATGGTGAATTTGCTTCGTCAATAATACGTAAAGTACACAAAATAATTTTTACTAAATCTAAATGGTAAATATTCTTCCGTAAAATAGACGAAAGCAATCTTACTGAAGGGTAGTTGGCAAAATCCATTCCGTTAATATTACGTAAATATGCTAAAACTTTTTTACCAAATATCTCAACGGTAAAATCATTCCGTCAATATTACGTAAAATTTACGTATAAAGCGTATTGACTTTACCTATTTCCCAAAAATTTACGTTTAATTTACATATCGTATGCTTCATCGTATGCCCAGAAACATATTCCTCGATGACCGGAGAAGTAAGCATTAATAAAACTGTAATGGTTATAATTTACTTAGTATTTTTACACCATAATTTAATTATCTTGAAATAAATTTGTTAGTTCACTCAATTTTTGAATGTTGACCATTTGCTTAATAATTAAACAAAGGGTTCAGGACAAGCAAAAAACTTTAAATTTTGAAATTCTTTAATTGTATACAGCATGATATATTATATCAAATGCGGAAAATTTACTAAAACGAATACTTTTTACTTGATTAGATTTATCTATAGTTAAGTATTTAATTTTTTTCTAAAAATAAAAAAACAAGTAAATAAGATAGTATTTATAAAAAATATGCTTTATTATTCCCAGAAAGTAATGTCGTTTCGGTGCATTTGATTATTCTTTTCAAGATTTCATTTTTAGTCAGTAATGCATTCACCCCCGTTAACAGCAAACTTTCAATGCCGGATCGAAAAGGAATCGAAATGGATAAAAAAATGAATTGGTTTTTAAGAAAAACAAATATTTAATGCTCCGAAACGGCATCATTTTTCGGTGCCCCTGATACTATAAAAATAATTCCCAAATGCAGAATATGAAATAAAATTAAATATTGAATCTTTATTTGAATTTATGAAAATTGCAATTGTGTTAGATAAAGAGCGTATTTTTTTTCTCCAGAAAGTGGCTAATCAAATCGTGAAAGATTTGGGTACTGAAAAATTCAAAGCTATGACCGTAGAAGTAAGTACTTCCATAATATATTAAAATAAAATAAATGCATGTGCAAGAACTGTACAAAATTGCAGAAAGCTTAGAAAGTTGTCAGCCCTGCCTGAGTGACTGTAATTAACAATATATTTAAAGATTTTCACATTATTTTATTTTGTAACTGTCGTTGAACGGCTGACCAAAATTTGAGTTTACGACTACCAATGTTCAACTCCGTAGACTTGTAATTTTGATCCTAATCCAAAAGACAAGGGAAATCATGGATCTTATATTGGAAGAAATTAGCCCTCGTGGAGGACTTTTTGATGCAACCAACCCACATTTGCGTTACATGGAGAGGAAATCCGCAAAAACCTAGTGGTTGGCCCGATGTCAAAGGGACTCAAACACATGATCCTTCTACCACTAAGGATAGAAATTATATATATATATATANATCCTATAATTGACATTTGCTGCGAATTTCATTTGATTCTGATGATTCCTTCATGGTGTTGCATTTTCTACAAACAGCAGTTTATATATATATATATATATATATATATATATATATAAATGTAAAAAGAAAACATCTTGATTAACAAGGGATACTCTGGGTACCTTCCTTGTCTTGTAAAGCAAGTGAATTAAAAACTTTCAATCATAGTTTACAAAAATTTATTTAGTTTATCATGTCTAGTACGAATTTGAATGCCAAATTGTTGATATCGCTGACAAATTGTGCATAAATTTCTGAAACTAATATAGATAAAGAGTAAATCTTTTTCAACTACATAACTAAAAAAGTTCGCGAAACTAAAAGGAGCCTCGAACCAGGATGATTATAAGTTTTATTTATTCACAAATACTATATAATAGAGAAAAAGCTTTTGCATTTTTTAATTATGCACGGCGTTTGTCTTAACGCAGTCTATCCCTGTTGAGGATTTATAATAACAGATGGCGCTGAGCGCAAACAATTTTTTCATTATTTTTTTCTGCACTTCTTAAGTTTCAGTTTGGATTTAACCACTGAACCACAATGAAATAAAATCCTTTTTTATTATTACAATTTGTGTAATTATTGTTGAATTCGAGTCAATCCCTTAGGGACACGGTGACCAGTCTTCGCGCATGTGATGTAACGTTCAAATAGCGTTAAGGTTAGAATTAGAAAGAGCCATAACCCTATGCAAAATCTATCTAATGTTTCATAATTCTTATATTCCAAAATATTTTCTCATTAATTCAAAACACATCTGTAGGAAGCAGAAAAATGGTTGAATACCTCAAATACAACTTCCAACAAGCTATACAAGGAGTTCCTTCAAAGGCATGGTCATCGATGCATAAAAGAAGTAAGATCTTATTTTATAAATAAATTTTGATTGATAAATAATTCATTTTTATGCACACTTGACTGAAAATCAGCACAAATAATAAATGAGTTTAAATGTGATCATTTAATATTAAAGTGATTTAAAATATTCGTTTCATTTAGTCTATTTTGTTTTTTAGTTTGACATTTATTCCACGCCGTGGGGGCAGGATCAGAAAATGTTCATAAAACTACTACAGGTATGTTAAATTTATTTGAGTAGTAATTTTCAATTAAAGAGTTGTTGAATTATTAATATTCTGCAAGAGGTTTATATTTTTTCCGATATAAATACTTGGATGTAAAATTTTACGTACTCTGGAAAATTACTATTCTCTTGAAATAAAATGTTTCAGCATGCTTAAAAATTTATGTGCATACTTTAAAATGTTTTTGTATTTGCAGACCTTGTCTTCCTGCGCAAAAGAAGAGACTGAAAATTCTGAAGAAAAATTTTCGAAACTATTTTCTGAATTACGAGTTCCTTTAAATGTCTTAAATAGGTAATGTATCATCCTGATTTGTAAGCCTTTCCTGTCTTTGAATCATTCTAAATCAGTTACAAGCTAGGTCAAGGTGTGGAGAACCTTTTTTTTACTTACTGAGCAATTAGTTTTGTTACTTATGTTAAATTATGGTTTATTATTTTCGGGTACACATCGTGCACTTTATGTTTCTTTTAAACTTTGAACTATTGTTTTGATTTTTAACTTTATTTCTAAAACCCACCCATATAATTGACGTTCTTCATTCGTGATAGGGGGCTGCCTTTGGCTCGTGATGTAAAAGTGCAGAACCACAGGAACTCTGGTCCGTGTAAAATAGAAATGATGAGTTACTAATTTTTAGGTTGACTCATTCTTTTTTATTTCAGGAACTTCATAATTCAATGTCGCAAGAAACATGTTTAGAATAGAAGCACTAGAAAAAGTATCATACTTCTATCTCATAAGAATGATGGACACGCGTCTCCTTCTCTGTATGCTTGGCTGTTTATATTTCAAAAAAATCAGTATATAAAATTTTAACTATAATCTAATTATTAGATTCGCATAAATGAGCAATCTTAATGATCCACGAATAATCATGAAAATTAGAAAACAAGCACGCAGAGAAGGATCTCGAACTCTTTTGCTCACCTTTTTCGAGCATCACACAATTCGAATGATAGCGTCCACCCGGGCAACCGGCTTAGCCAAACTCACGGTTGCAGTTAAAGCAAACTAGGTGCAAGGCACGGCTACAACAGTAACGTTTTAAGTTTAGATGAAAGCTAAACTGTTAAAATTTGGGTGTGCTGTGATAGTATCATCACAATTCGGGCATCAGGCGTGCATATAAGTTGACCCCTCTTTCATGGGTACCATATTAAGTGTGCCAACGCTACCAAACATTAATTATTTGATATTTACTCAGTAATTTGCTTTAAAGCTGTTTTTCAAAGGCTCCATTGTACTGTGAAATAATGCTTTTTTTGCGAATAATGTGCTATTTTCTTAACTGCAGTGAGTTTGAAACTCATGACTGTAAGAGCAAGCTTAGCCTACCTAAAGTGCCAGTGCTGTCAATGCTTATCTTGAAAATGACGCCAAATGTTAAAAATGAAAATTTTGTGGTCTAATTTTTTAATACTTACTCCAATGCTGTTTTACCTGGGCTCATTAAAATTTGCAACAACTGAGAACAAGGCATATCAAGTGCCTTACACTTGAAGCAATGTGATGATTTTAAACTATACATGTAATCTCGCCATGAGGAATTATTTGGGCTTTAAAGCAGACAACTTAAATATTATAAAAGTTATTAACCCTAGAAAATTTGGTGACATCACAACCTTATTTTCAGTTTTTGCAAATTTTTATAAGCCTAGGAAATGCAGCATAGTAAGTTTTTAAATATTGAGAAATTAGACTACAAAAGTTCTTAACAATATATTTTTTATTTTCCTTGAAGACAGAGATTCAGTAAACAGCGTTAAAGAAAAATGAAAGAAACTCTGTATTTAAAAAAAGATTTTCAGCGAAATGTTCAGGTGAAATAACCTTTATGATAAGTAATAAAATAAAACTAAATTGGTTAATGTTAGATTATTAAAAAACTTTTTACAGTATAAAAATTTAGATAGATCAATTCAATTGAAATGTACACCGAAGAGCCATTACATTATGACCACCCTCCATCTATAACAATGGGCTCGCCCAGGTTTTCATGGTTTCTCGCACAGGAACAATGTTTTCATGGGGCACATTAGGGGGCATGTTTTCATGGGGCAATCCTCATAGAAAAATCTTTGGCGTCTGTAAGCTACTTGAACACAGTTGCAGACCAGGTTCACCCATTCATGACAACAGTTTTTCCTGCGGGGGATGGTGTTTAAAAATCGGAAAATGCACCATGTCATAAGGGTCGAATCGCCGAGGAACATTCCAGTGACTTTCAAGTCATGTCTTGGCCCCCAAATCCACCTGACCTTAATACAATAGAGCATTTGTGGTCCTAATGGGAAAACCAAATTCCTGCTACCACGCTACCCCCTCGCAATGTGAGGGAATTGCAGGACCAGTTAGTGAGCGCTTGGTACCAGATACCTCAGACTAACTATCAGCACCTTGTGGAATCAATGCCACTGCGGGTGCTTGCAGTTTTGAGCGCTAAAGGTGGTCCTATATGTTATTAGCAGGGTGGTCATAATGTAATGGCTCTTCGGTGTATATTGTTAACTTCCTTTGTTCCTCCGAATAAGGCTCCTCTGTATCACGCTTTTAATACTTATTTTAAATACCACGTACGTTGCTAACAATTATAAACTGTATCACTTTTGTTTTGGTCCTAGCTCACGTATTTAGGGATTCTTTTCAATATATTATTTGTCATTATATCTTCAAAATATTACTCCTCAATTTTTTCATACTTCATTATTTAATATATTTTGACTGAGCAGGATCTTGAAATTGTTTTAAAGTCTTGAATGGACCTAAATTGGAAGTTAACTTTCTGAAATTTTTAAGAATGGAAAAAAATTCATCCCCTCTCCAATTTTTACAGATTAAGAGTATCCTGTATTTGGTAAAGTGCGCCAATTAATTCTAATGGTCTGAAGAGATTATATCTTGAAACTGGGTAGTTTCAAGATATAAGTTACAGTAGTTATGTGGGAAAGAAAACCACGTAAATCTCACACAGATAGTCTCACGGGAAGAAGACTCTAACCCATGATCTGTCTATCACTGAGACTATTTTAAGTCTGTACTGTGGTAGGTGCGAGAAGAATGCAGAAATCGTATAGATCAGCCATCGCTGGGATTCAAACATGGGACAACTCATTGGGAGATTTTTACAAAATTGCAACTAAATGTCGGCTTTTTGTTTACAGCTTATCGCACTCACGTACTTCCCCCAGAAAAAATCAATCCAGATTGTTAAATGCTAGGCTATTGCTCCTTAGGGCATTAAAATGTCCAATAGCGATAAGAAATTTACATAAAAGCTGAAAATAATTTCTACTAAGATACAATTTAAATATTTACATCTCTGATGGCTCAAAATGTTATGCAGATTTAGCGTTTTTTATTTTGTAAAATAACACGCAGTGGTGATTACAAAAGAAGAGCTTTAGTTGAAGAACCAGGTAGTGACATTTTTAGAGGTATTTATAAATCAGTGAAAATAAAATAAAGTGGCTACATCGATTAAATGTTTTTGCTTTCACTTTAACATTACTAAACCTCATTAGTTTGGAGTATGCTTGCATAATTTTTATTTTCGTTCCGGCGGTAGAAAATAAAATAAAACAAAGAACATTCTAACAAATCAATTAAAAAATTGTTCAGACACCCTTTTTCTTCTTCTTACCCTGATTATAACCTCTCTGAAAATGTCACTTACCTGGTTTTTCCAATAAGGTCCTCAAATGTGTTCATTTTTTTACTGTTTGCACTTTTCAAAGTTTTCTTAATCTCCCTGATGTCCTATAACCAGTTTTAGAGAAAAATATTTCTGTAAAACTCTTTTTTAATAAACTATTATATGAATGTGGAAAACTTTCAGGTTTCTTTTAAGACTTGCTATACCAAAATGTCGCAAAGGCGTAAGCTCAAGAGAATCAAGCAAGGCATGTTTTACTCTTATTCGATGATTTTTCTCTTTTAAGCGCTTATTATCATATATTTCAATATCTTTGTGTGTTACAGTCAATGTTGATCAAAAGTATGGATAATTGGAGGAAAGGATATCGACGTTTAGCTAAGCTAATGGTGTCGGAAGGCCGAATTCCAAATGAAGATCTTCTCTTTTTTATGACAATGGATGAAATCAGAGACTTGTTGGAAACAAGATATCCAAAGATTATAGCTAGGTAACATTACAGTGAAAAAGTTTACAAAAATTCTTGGTTTTATTACATTTATACGTAGGATGTTAAATTTATATGTAGGTTTAAACTTAATCTAAATATTTTTAGAATTTGTTACAATTTACTACTGTTTTTTTTTAATATTTTGTCGAATCCGGAATAGTTAGTAACTCTGTTACTCATTATAAATGTCTCCAGAGGGTAACTGTTGTAACTTTGCATTTCATATGACTCTTTGAATTTTTAATATGTAGTTTTGGATAAATTGTTTAAACCTTACAAAGGCCGTGGTAAGTATACTTACCACGAATTTTTAAAGTCCATGCTAACTTTTCTACCACTTTAAATTCAGGTTTCTATTTATTAATAACTACAGCTTTCTTGAAGTGCTTTTGAATAAAATTGGCAACCATTTTTTAGTGTAGAAAAACGTATAAAAATTATAAAATGCATAATACCTACTGAAGTTTGTAGCATTTATAAAATTTAATTTATAAATAAAGAAAAATAAAAGTCAATAAGTTCCTAATAGGTCGTGGTAAATATATTCACCACCAAAAAAATGACATTAAAATTTAAATAAATTTTTTTAAGCTAAATGAGTTTTTCTATTCTTATGTCAATTACTATTCTTATATCAATTACTATTCTCATGTGAATTTCAATTCCAAAAATTCGTTAATTTATTCTTACTAGAAGTAAATGGCCCACTAAAGGGTTTAAATAAAAATTGCAAAATATAAAATAACAAATTTCGTCATCACAGGAAAATATATTTTTACAAAGCAGGGCAAGTTGTCATCTCTGGTACATTCACTGACAGTCCTAGTGTTTTGATTTTATTGGGCACCTGGCCCGCGAAGCAGACCCTATCTCATTCTTCTGTAATTTCAGCACTATTTTGATTGAGCATTGAAGTAAGCAGGCAGTGGAGTTGCTTTTATGAATGTTTCAAGCACTTTGCTTGAATAACTAAAAAGGAATAAAAATATAAAATGAGCAGCTTGCTCTAAACTATGTTTGTTTGAAGTTGCAGAGTTGTATCAGCATGAGGAAACGCTATTTTCTGAAGGGTTGATGTAGTTTTTTGTTTTGGTAGTTGTGATATGAGGCGTTTGGAGGTGAAATATGCAGCTATTGTTCAGTAGTTTTTATCTTTGTTGAAATTTTCAAATTTAAGGATTTAATTAAAATTTGCTGTTTTACATTCTATGGCTTTATCGGAAAAATTTTTTCGTTTAGTTTGAATATATGCTGCGGTATTTTGAAGTCTGCATGTATATTTGCATTCCGGATGAACCATCTGGCACAGGTTATTTTTCTTAGGATCTTGTTTTAGGATTGGTTTAATTTCTTCAGTAAATGTTGAGGTGCAGTTGTCTACGCAGGTGATATGGTGCCAGAGCTTACTAGTAGGTCTAAACTAAAATTATTTAAGAGTATTGGTAGTTAAAACCATTTTTTATTCTTTAATAAATTTTGAATACATAAATTTTGCCACTACATTTATTTAAAAAACAAAATCTTCTGGAAATCCGGTAGAGTTAATTAATATGAAACATTTTCTGGTTAAAAGTACCTCTTCACCCTGTGTTACGGACTTGTAATGTTCTGAGACATACATTAATGTATAATTTTTCTCTCATTTTAGCATTTGCAAAGATTTGACAGGCTAACATATTGATATTGGTAGTCACAAATGTACAGTGCGATAAATGAAAAATAGATCACCCTTATTAACTTTTGATCTAATGATTAGATTAATGTTAATTTTACTTTTTACATATTTCGCATATCTCGAATACCTCGCATATGTCGCATATCTATTTACATATCTCGAAAACATTTTAAGCGGATTAAAACATTTTTGCAAACAATTATGAAATTCGTTCAGAGATAATTCTATACAAAATATAACTTTTAGTATAAATTTTTTTAATTTTTTTATATAATTTGTTAATAGTTAAAGGTACACAACTTTTTACACCATTTTAAAGAATGCAATTTTAAATGGAAATATACAAAATATGAGTGAAAATCAATGGAATAATTTATGAGAAATCGAATTTTGAAGAAGTCGTATTGTTAAAATTCAATTTCTCATAAATTATTCGACCAAATTTCGAATTCATACGAAATTATATTGTTTAAAATTATGATAAATTTTTATACCTTACAATTTAAAAATTTTTCGACTAATATTAAATAAACTAATTAAAAATAAGAAGAAAAAAAATATTTACTAAAAGTTTTATTTTGCTTGGAAATTTGGACCAGTCTCCGAACTAAACTATGGGGACTCTATTTTAGTAGGAAATGTTTTAATAAACATTTTTTTATAATTATTATTGTGAAAGATTTTACTACATTCTTGAATGATTTTTCCAGAGCAAATCAACGTAAGAAACTTTTCCCAGTTTTGGATCAGTACAAATTTCCAGAAATAATTCGTGGTTTTCCAAAAGGTGTAAGTATACTTTTTTGATGATGCTAATTGTCCGTATTTCTCCACAATCATGGATGTCACTGACGATTAAAAATGTAGACAGTGTTATAAACTCAATTCATTTTTGTTTATTCCTTATCGCTTTAATTATTCAATCGTAACTACCACCATGACTTATACTTCAGATTCTTCATGTTTAAAGCAAAGATATTCCATGCACTAACTTATAAAAGTAAATTAAACAATCCTAATTTTAATCTACTGTAATAGGATTTTTAATTTTAATAGTCAATAGAAATGGGCAAAACTCTTACATCGCAGTCACTGTTACTTCTGCTACTGGGATTGATTCAAAAGTATCAGTGACAAAAAGCAGTGACTGTGATTATTTCAATATAGAATTAATCGATATTTTCTATCCATCAAATCGATTAATCGTTATAATTTAATAAAAAATTTGATATAAATTAATTGATTAAATATTTTAATAAATAATCGATAGAATTAGTTTTTAGAAACATTTATCGACGCCACCAATTTTTAATGTAATTAATTAAAATAATTAATCGTTAGACTTAGTAGGCATTTTTCTGATAAATAATGATCTTTTAAAACCAATGTATATAGTAGTATGATTTTACAACAAACAACAACTCTGCCAACTCTTTCGGATTTTCCGGAATATTTTATTTTCATATTTAATGTGGTAGTAAATATATACTATTTTTTCTTTTATAAACTTAATTTTTAAATGATTTTGATCACCACTATTCTTACAAAAATTAAGCACATATATTAATATGCGTTACTATCATGGTTGTCAACTTAAGTTATTTCAAATGGAACGTATTTGTTTGATTAAAATTGAAGTTTTAATTTCATTTTCATACCACTAGGAAAAATGATAATGGAAGGGATTAAAAGTTGGCAGGTATGAACCAATATGGGAGTTTTTTAATTCTTGTAATATTTTAAAATAGCAAAGATTTTATTTCAGATAAAATATTAAATTAGGGTATATATCAACGAGACCGTCAGTAAAGTAGAGCCAACACATGGCGCCACTAAAAACATTTTCTTTTAAATTTTGTTGTTCGGAAGGGAAAGAACACTTTGTTTTAGTTTTATTAATGGATATAAAAAATTTAACTTCTTTATGCGATTATAATTCTTGTTTATTTGAACTCAACTAAATTAAACTAAAATCAATGCCCATTTAGAACCAAAGCCTACCATCCCAGTTTTTTTGGTACTAAATTTATCAACCCGCTGAAGGGATGAAAAGTTGAGTTAACCTTGCCTGGTCCGAGAATTGAACCATGGACATATAGCGTAATTTTATCTCGTAAATGTTTAGACACAGAGTTTTATCATGTAAATTTTCAGGCACAGAGTTTCATCTTGTAAATATTTGGGTACAGAGTTTTATCATGTAAATTTTCAGATACGGAGTTTCATCTTGTAAATGTTTGGATACAGTATTTAATTTTGTAAATTTTAGGCGTAAAGTTTTATCTTGTAAATATATAGGGGTTGTGTCCATTTTTCGAGTGTTGAAGGATACTTGAGAGCAAAGGGTTAAAGTATAAAATCTGGAATAGTAAACGAGAATAAGGCAAAAAGTGTGAGTGATGCAATCTGAAAAGAAACATCGAAGCAGTTAGAGAGGTGTCTGCCCTCTAGTAATGTTACAAAAGTTCACTAGCGTGGGATGGAACTCGTTAGTGTTACAAAAAAATCTATACCATACAAAAAAGTATATTTCCTTTAAAGGGAATTTCAATTGAGATATTTCTGCTTATAATTCTGAAATAAAAGAGAAAATCTAACAAAAATAATGTCATTTCTTATAACAAACGTCTATTCTTAATGCAATGTAATGGTAGTAATAATTTTAAAGCGAAATATTAGGTCATCCGAAAAGTTCAAACCGATTGATAGGTGGAGCTCCAAAGCGTCCGATAAAATTATTCAAGGGGTAGCAAAATGTACAATATAAAATACATTTTTTTATTTTTAAAAATAAATCATTTTGCTTTCCTGATCTCTTCAAAAATTTTATAACTTACTACAGATATTGAAGCTCGTTGCTTGCTAGATGAATATTATAGTGGTAGCTAGAGTGAACTTGTTGCAAATTTGGGTGAGCTGCTTCAAATTGCTGTGTTGAGCTACCACTAGGATATTTTCGGGTGATCGTTAGGAACTCCACCTATCGAAATCCAACTCGAATTTTCTGAACCACTTGATAAAATTTTTGGAATAAATTTAAATTTATAATTTTCCATTAAACTCCTTAATTAATAAATCTATTACCTATCTAATACAATTATGATTGTTTAGGTAGATGAAGTTGAAGAATCTAATGATGCAGCTGAATATGTTGCTGATTTAACAATGCAAGGTAACAATAAATTTCTTGTACATTGAAATTGAATATTAAATTTTGTGTTTTTCATCATTTTTTAAAAGAAAAGCGAAATTCTGATTTTTCATTCAATGTATTCTGTTGTTCAGGAAGTAATTTCATTTTTGTATGAAAGTGAAAGATGATTTTCTCATAGTGAATAACTATTTTATTAAATCATATGTCGCCAATTCTGGTAGAATACCTTTTACCATCTTTCTGGCAGTGGCATGATTCACGCGCCTAAAATATTTGTTCTATGCTGGGAAAAAACTGAGCCCCAGGTGATTTTTGACCTCCTAAGTTGACGTAAAGATTTTACCGTCTAAAACATTTTGTAAAGACAAAAACATAGTTGTAGACAACCTCTCTTTAGTACCAGTGTTGATAGGTTTTAAAGATGGATAGTTTTCTTGACGTTTGAGATGCAAGGAGCACACGATGCATATTTCTTTCCGTAGGCACTTGAGAAACTCATACATCGAACTTAGAGATTAAACCATAGGTTTCTTAGGTAGTCCTTAAAAAACGGTTCAATTCTCAATTAGATAAATTTATTCTCCCAGTGATCTCACGAATTTGTGAAGGCGGTTTCGGACAGTTTGTGTCGAAACTGTGAGGCTACTAGCCGAGTTAATGTATTATTGCAGAAGAGTGGCAGTCATATTTTAGTGTCCCCGAGCCGCTAGCTAGCTAAATAACGGTCTTAATTGGTCGTTATTGCACGTCTATTCCCTTGCCCCGCTTTCTGCAAAAGGCTTAATAAATTGGTAGCAAATTAAGCAGTGAAGCTTTTAGAACAAAGACAGCTACTCTTGCTTTTTAAAATTGTTGGAACACGATAACTGCATACCTGGCAACTTGCATGGTCGTTAAAAATATATTACGAAGTGGTAATAAAACAACAATTAATTTTCCAAAAATGAAACTATTAAGATATCTATAAGCATAATGAGTCATTAAATAGAGTTTATCTACATATTTCTTTAAATAATTGATTCGTCTTGGTAGTTTATAATTTTTTTAAAACTTTAAACGTCAAGCTTTTATGCGTTAAAGTGCTAATGATGTTACCATGAAGAGAAGAATTTCTCAACGGCAGTACAAGTTAGCAGCCATGTAACAACAGGCCTGCCAACTACTACGCTTCTTGTAAAATATTTTATAGAGTTGTAGACGTTTTTAAACCAAAGTTTCCAGATTTTGAGGTAATTTTGGCATTATTTTAAGACCCTCCCCAGGATAAAGCAGAAGCAATTCAGTGTTGTATATGAACTTTTGAATCATTTATATGCAGTGGTGGGGAAAATAAGTTTAAATGGATGAAAAAAAATAATACACTAAAACATTAACTCAGTTTCAAACCAACTTTATTTACTTTATTTAAATCAAGCTGGGTGTCTGGGCCGCGCAGCGGTCCCTAACGCATACATCATGAAATAATTTACATTGTTTGAAAACATTTTATATTATGCAACATTGTGGTGGCAAGATTAAAAAGACAGGAAATAAGAAAAAAAAATATTAAAAAAAAAACAGATATTGCAGGCATTGTTTGTAGATTACATATTTGTCAGTTCTATTGGAATATGTTATTTAATAATTTTTACAGTAGGTTTCCAGATTTTAATAATAATGGATTTTTTAAAGTTCTGTTAAATGGTTAGAGTTTGTGTTTTTGATTTTGATTTTCAGCTGCTCAGAATAAACTGCAACATGACACATGAGAGTTTTATACCAACTAGTCCTAGTGTTCTGATTTTATTGGGCACCTGGGCCGCGAAGCGGCCCCTATCCCATTCATCTGGAATTTTATAACAGTTTTGGTTGAGCAATGATGTGAGCAGGCAATGGAGTTGCTTTTATGAATGTTTCAAGCTCTTTGCTTGAATAACTAAACCATCACTGAGACTTCAT